CCTTAAGATACAGGATGCGCTAAGGGGAGGCGAAACATTCTTTTTTTTTCCCCTTTAATGATGTTTTTATTGTACATGTGTTTTGATTGCCAGTATGTTTAGTGGTTATGTGTGTAATGCCTGCAAAGGCCAGAAAAGGGAGACAAAGCCAGAGTCACCATGTGAATGATAGGGGTAGAATCCAGGACCTCTGGAAGAACAGCAAATGCTCTTAACCCCTGAGTTGTCTCTCCAGCCTTTGGAGGTGAAACATTTTATCCTAAAGGGAAACTTGTTAAATTCTGGAAGTAAGCTACTAATAGCTTGGATAAGTCCCTAAAACTGATTGGATTCACTAGGTCCCCCTCTCCCCAAGCATACAGAAGCAGTAAAGGCTGCTGAGAGACACTCTCAGACCAGCTGAGCTACCTGGAAAAGGCATGCTCCAACCTGTTGAGCTGCCAGCAGGTTGTGCAACACTGCTCCAGGTTTCCTGCTTTCGTGAGCTGCCACTCATGCTGGGGTGGCCTTTTGGTGATGCAGCTGAATTTCAGTCATTTCTGCTCCTATAAGCAATCCTCTATCCATATGCCTCTAACTATCCCGAATAAAATTCATTGATTCACCAAGTTGGACTTTGGTGGCATCTTTATTCTTGTCTGTCATCACTTCCCTATCTGGGGTGAGTAGACATTTGTTCACATCTGCCTAGGAATCATGCACACAACAAAAGGAGATTACAAACAAGAAATACAATTAGAGCCGGGTGTGGTAGTACACACCTTTAGTCCTAGCACTTGGGAGGCAGAGTCAGGTGGGTCTCTGTGAGTTCAAAGCCAGCCTGGTCTACAAAGCGAGTTCCAGGCCAGCTGGAGCTACAAGGAGAACCTGTCTCAAAAAAACAAAAAACAAAAAAACCAACCAACCAACCAACCAAACAAACTAACAAATGAACTAACAACCCCGCCCCCAAACCAACCAACCAACCAAACACACAAAACAAAACAAAAAAGAAATACAAATAAAATGATCTTGGGGCTAGAGAGATGGCTCAGTGATTAAGAGCATTGGCTGTTTTTTTGCAGAGGACCCAGGTTTGATACCTAGCACTCATATTGTGGCTAACAACTGTCCATAATTCTAGTTCCAGGGGATCTGACACTCTCTCTGACTTCCTCAGGCATTGCATGACACAGGTGCACTTATATGCATGCAGGCAATACACTCATACACATAAAATAAACAATTAAAATGATTTTGTCCATACCACCAAACTCCCAAATATTTTCCTTAAAGTAGGAATCTAAATGCCTTCATGCAAAGTGGGAACCTCTGAGAGTCTACAAAGGAAGAGAATTTGGTATTGACAGGGAATTAAGAATTCTGTAGGGAAGAGATCCTTACTGACAGAGACAAGACTTCTGTAATTCTACAACATCACATTTTTATACAAATTCCATTGAACTGAATCTAGGCATTCCCACTCCTCTGAAGAGAAATCAATGGACAAAATCCTTGAATGATAACAGCTCCTGAAATAAAAATGGACAGCACACAGATCACGTGGTGTTAAGCACAATACATAATTTGATTGAAGAAGTGTCACAGAGCAGTGTGAAGAGGATTGTGATTAACAGCTGTACTTTCAGGCTCTTCTAGGAAAGCTTTACTGATGAGTTTTTAAAAAATTAAAAATTAGGGGCTGGAGAGATGGCTCAGCGGTTAAGAACACTGGTTGTATTTGCAGAAGACCTGGGTTTGAATCCCAGCAACCACATGGCAGCTAACAACTGTCCGTAACTCCAGTCCCAGGGGATCCGACAGCTTCTTCTGACCTCCGTGGGCATTGCATCACATGGGTGCACTTACCTACATGCAGGCAATACACACATACACATAAAATAAAAATAAAATTTTTTTAAAAAATTAATTAATTACCTGATGGAAAGCAGGTAATACCTATGTAATGTGTAGCATGAATATGTAATTTTAATGTTTAGAACTAAATGTTGATCCTTGCTACTAAATAATTCATTGGTCAACTCTGATATTAGTATTATCAAATTACTTAATAGCTTTAAAAAGAAAAAAAACAAATAATTTAGTTTGAAATTGGGCAAAAGACATGAATAGATAATTTCTTAAAATAAAACATACTGTCAAAAGGTATAGGAAATGCTTACTATCAGTAGTCAGAACAATGTTCATTAAAATTAGAATCAGATAATATCTCATTAAAGAGTGAATGACTAATATAAAAAAGGTAAAAGAAATGTTATGATGATGATTTGGAGAAAAATGATCTTTTACTGAGTATTTGTAAGGAAGTTTGCAGAGCAATTACAGAAAACAGTATGTCACTTCTTTCTCAAATTAAAAACAGAACCACCATATGATTCAGCAATCATACTACTGGGCACATATGCAAAAAGCATTAGCATGTGGAATACATAATAAAATTCTGTAATTTGTAATATTTTAAATGAAATTAGACATACAATGATAAGTATTGTGTATTAAAAATATAAAATATTAAAAAATTCATGTCCATGGAGAATGACACAGCAGTTACTTGTGGGTGGGTAGTACAGAGGGACATGCAGAGTGATTGATAGGTACTGCTTTCTTACATAATATGGTAATAATAGCTAATAATAATTTGTAACTTATTACAAAATAGCTAGAAGCCTAAAATTCTTACCATGAAAAGTCTAAATGTTTGAGTTAACAGATCTGATAATTATTGATTTGATTAACCAATTATACACATGTTGAAACTATACCTTACAGCTTATACCATTACAACTATGGGTGAATTATAAATAAGACCTTAAAATGAAGACCTTCCATGACTCCCTAAACACAAGTTACCCTGTATTAGAGAAATCCAAATTATACATCAGAAATGAAAAGTTCCCATTTTAGATGAAGAGGAATGAGGAGAAAACTGAGAAATGAGAGCCACAAGTCAGGCTATGGAGAATCAGAGCTTTGCATATGTAGCTGAAAATAAAAATTTAAGCAAATAACCAGAGCACAGTAAATTCATATGTCCCCTCAGCCATAGTCTATGTGCTTTGTGTATTATGCAGAATTCATATGATTCCTTCACCATGAAGTTCTATTAAAAAGAAAAAGAAACATGAAATTCATTCTGATATGAATTACTTTCTACTTGTTACAGAACATCTATTATACACCTATATTGTCTGTGTGCTTGTTTCATACACTTTTGATGAAACCATCTCTGTTCACTCAAACGAATTGCTTCAGTGAACTTATTAAGAGAGTATTTTATCAACCTGAAAGAAGCAATAAGTTAAAGAAATAACTTAAATTGTTTTGTTGAGAAAAAATATATAATGAAAGAATATGTCTTAACATGGTCAGTCTGGTATTATATTTTCAGAGTAATTTCTGAAAACTACTAAAACAATCTTAAAAGCACTTATCTGGTCAAATAAACCATATTTTACAAACTTTGAAAAAGTGACATATGATGTACGACTAACAGTAATCTTAGAATTAGCATCAAGAGATTAAGAACCATGCTGTTTCAGAGAAATGAGTTCAGTGTAGATTAGGTATCTATGTATACACATATATACATATCCATACATACACATTATATATACATGTATATATAGTATACACACACACACACACACACACATTCATTCACACACAGAATAGCTTCCTGGTAAGAAGTCAACTATTTTTAAAATTACCTTTCATTTTAGTAACTTCCCTTCTCAAGTTATACAAAAACATGTATCCACACATGATACGTTAGTCCTAAAGTTTATCATTAGATCGTAATATTTGTATATTTCAAGCCAATGAAAAGGAGTATCAAAATTTGTGTGTATGTTTGTAGGCTAAAAAGAGTGATGTATTAAAAAAAATTACATGGTAAAATTTGACAAGTAGTAATTCAAGATTCTAAAAGGTAGAATATAATTATACTCATAATTTCCATGTAATTACAAAAAATGTGAAAAAATATATCACATATAGAATAACAATTCTATTTGGGCATGGTGGTACACACCTTTAATCCCAGCACTTGGGAGGCAGAGGCAGGTGGCTCTCTGTGAGTTCAAGGTCAGCCTGGTTTACATAGTGAATTCCAGGCCAGCTTGGGGTTACAGAGAAACCCTACCTCAAAAAGACCGAAAAAAAAAAAAACCCAAAAAACAAAAACAAAAACAAAAAACCAAACCAAACCAAATCAACCCCCCAAAGCCCCCCCCCAACCAAAGAACCAAAAAACAAAACAAAAAAGTGCCCCCACAAAACAAATCCACAATTGTATCTGAAGGGCCCTGACACTGGGAAAAGAATGACAAGTCATTCCATTACTCCCCAGCAGCATAGAATTAAAGT